GCTTTATTTAGTTACAACGCAGCTACGAAAGTAGTTAGGAGTATACATTTATGCATTTTTCGTGGAAAACCAGGAACTTCTCCAGTGCACTTTTTTTCCATTTGAAAACGCGGCCCTCCAAAATAATGAAGGCGTCATCTGGGGCGAGGCAATGAGATGTACTCTTCATAAGGCAACTTCGGTATATTTTGATAGATTTAGGAGTATTTTTCGAAATCGACTCCGTCTCTTTCGAAAATTTTGCGTCCTCTCCAGAACTTTGGTCGCCTACCTCAAAAACTTGAAAAAAGTCTGCGATTTTGCATGAGTCTTACATTTTTTGTGTCTCATATGAGGATAACTCCCAAACAATGACGAAGTTGGCCATACAGACAGTGCCGCGAAACGAACGCTATCGATGAAGGATAGAAACCTTGGGTTTTGAGATTCGAAAGCAATCATTATAGTCGTGAAATTTCCTCCTCCAATCGGGGTTTAGCGACGTTCTAAATTGGTGAATGGAGGGCGGGGGTTGTGATGCAATCCAAGAACGAGCGCCGTAAATTTCAACCCGTTGTGAGTTTGTGACGCGCAACGCCGCTCGATTCACGATCAGCCCATACACACTCCCGGCTCCGTTGGTTGTCAAATCCCGAAGCTATGCTCATGCCGACCCTTTAGCCGAGCTGTAGCTTTTCGTTCCCGCCACCAGAGTCGTAGCGCGATTTTGATTCCATCAATTTAGCAGTCTTGACCGGAAACGAAAATCTACGACTCATAAAATGTTTCATGATTTCTAATTTATAAATTTTAGGAGGCGGTAGCCACCTCAATTTTGAGAAAAATCTCCCTAATAAGTCGAAGAAGAAGAAAAAAAATTGAAAGATTTATCCTACAAAACAAATCGTCGTTTCTCTCACGAAAGGATGTAACAGCATTTCAATGTTGTCAGATTTCCCCGCGAAAATTGTCCTCAGCCGGTAGAATTTTGGGAGTTTCTAATTGAAAATTTGTGGGTCTCTTGTCTCTGCGGTGCCTCCTCGCGTGGAAAGTGGGAGGTAACATTTTGGCAACAGAGTCACGGAAAGGAGCGAAGTTCCCGACTCTCGTGGTCCCCAGGCACTACGGGTGGAGGAGGAGGGTGGGAGGGGGGAGGAGGTGGAGGAGGAGATGGTCGGATCCCTGTCGCTGCGGCGCGGCGCGCGGCGGCCCGCGATGACTCAACTTTTAATTATGGCAGCGTCGCGTTCCCCATTCTCGAGAGGCCTGCACCATGACGTCAGTGGCGCGGCATGCTTTGCGATGGCTCGATTCACCTACCATTTAAACCTTTGCAAAAGGATCAATCACCAAGATCGACCTTATTATCGATTCTTTATCATAGCCTCAAATAGGTAGGGAAATATCGATAGCCCATCATTACCGCTCCTCTGACGTAAGGGTATCTCGATTTCCACGCGAGCCCTGCTCTCCCTACAACTCTATGCTTTCGAGGGCTCATGAGAAAATAGAGATTTGTGAAGATACGCCGGCGACGATATTATAGTTGTCTCGTCATGAATCACACGGTCAATTCCACTCAAGAATAAATATCGGGCCTGGCCTCCAGCCTTCAGTCTGGGGGCTCTCTAGACGCCATGAATGACGTCAGGCCTTCCTGACGAACCTCTTTATAGTAGAGGAGACCTTATTGGGGGGGAGGGGTAGCAAAAAGCCTCCATGGTAACCAATGCCTTTTTTTGCCGGCGATTTTCTCCCCTACTGAAGGTAATTTTTTCTCGTGCTCTCTTCTCTCTCTCTCTCGTCTAATAAGAGCGAAAGGAGGGGCATCGTTAAGGGCCTTTTTTGGGCCCACCCTGAAATTCCTCAACTCCGCGATTTTTCGGGCTTTGGCAAATAGATTGGAAATGACCAAACCATTATGCATTCCGTAAAATGTAGACCTTCAATGACCAAAAAATCGCGGAGTTGAGGAATTTCAGGATGGGCCCAAAAAAGGCCCTTAACGATGCCCCTCCTTTAGCAAGTTTTCCGGTCCAGTCTGGTAACGACCAGTGGCGAGGCGTGAATGATCGATTTTCGATATTTCCCTGTTTGAAGCTGTACTAAAGAATCCAATATCAAGGCGTTAGTTGCGAACACCCTGTTTCTCGATCCTTTGCCATTGGTGTGAATGGTAGATCGATCGATCTATCACGAAGCACGCCATGGCACTGGTTTTATCGACGACATCGTCTCCTGAAGTTTCGCAGGGTGCCTACAAGTCCGGAATTAGTACTGATTTTTTAAGGGCGGTCCGGAAGTACTGAAATGGTACATAAATTCCGCAAATAGGTCCGGAATTTTTGAAAAATTTTGCCATTTTTGGCGCAATTTTAAGTTTTTGAAATTTTTCTAATTTCGTCAAATGGAGGTATTGAGAAAGTACGGAATTTTTCTGTCAGAGGAGGTACTGAATTTCTTGAGAATGTACTGAAAAAGTACTGTAAAAGTACTTATTTTTGACCAGCCTGTTTTAGTCGACACGTGTTTCTTTATCATTTCCAAGTTGCCCCATTGGCCCTCTCCACTGTGCGGCGCGGCGTGCCGAATAACGTCGTTGGACTTCAGCATCGCCGGCCGTATTTCAATTCTTTTCGTCAACGACCGACCGATTATCACCGTAAAAAAGCTCGCGACCGCGTCACCGCCGCTCCGCTGACCCAATCCCACGCTCGGGCAGGCGATTGGAATAGGCCGAGGTGCCCGAGGTCGGTTGAAGAGGAGAGAGGGGGGTGGGGGCGCTCCCTTGCGAAAGCTCGCGCGTGCGACGCGACGCAGGGCGCCCGCTACATTTAACGCGCTGCGTGCGTTGCCGTTGCGCCGAGCACGCCCCGACGCCCCGCGAGAAAAACGCCTTGGAGCCGCTCCAAATACCCCAGCGCCCAGTGCGACCGTTGCCCAATTGAAAATACCGGATTTTTATTCCTTTTTATCTTTCCGTGCTCTCCAGGCCGAAATTCTCTCGCTCTTGAAGTTGTTCAACCTAAAAAAATACTAGCAGAAATTTTGTTTTCCGTCTATTGCAATGGAGCTTTTGCATGTGTCAGGAATTTTCGATTTAGGCACTGATTCCCATATCAGGGTGTCTACAAGTCCGGAACAGTGGCGTGGCGTGAATGATCGATTTTCGATACATCCCCATTTGAATCCGTGGTAAAGAATCGATCATTAAGGTGTTCGCTGCTAACACCCTGTTTATAGATCCTTATCCATAGGTTTAAATGGCATGACAATCGACAAATCGCAATTCACGCCACGCCACTGCACTGAGAAAAAACTATGGTTTATAAACCTATTAGAGGTAAATATGGAACACCTATAATAGTCGTAAATAAACTAATGATTCTCGGTCTGTGAACCATACTAAGGTCTCTGTACCTAATTAAGGTACCCCGTACCATAACTAAGGTATATGTGCTATTATTATATGTAGAGGTACTACTATTAGTGGTGTTCCATATTTACCTCTAATAGGTTTATAAGCCATAGTTTTTTCTCAGTGTGGTCCGGAATTTCCGGAAAGCTCGGAAACAGTACTGACTTTTTAAGGGCGGTCCGGAAGTACTGAAAAAGTGCGGAAATTCCGTTAGGAAGTCCGGAATTTTTCATTTTTGTCGCAATCCGAGATAGAAATTCAAATTTTTGAAATTAGAATTTCGTCAAATGGAGGTACTGAAAAAGTGCGGATTTTTTCCGTTGAGAGGGTACTGAATTTCTCGGGGTTGTACAGAAAAAGTTCTGTAAAAATACTGATTTTTGGCCAGCCTGTTTTAGTAGACACCCTGCATGTAAAATTTCGCACGATGGTACCACCAGTTGTCTCTGAGATCCATTCCAAATCTCTCAAAGATGAGGTCGTAATGAAGGGGTCATCCCGCGCGCCACCACGATAGTTGGACGGTATGTAGCCCGTGAGAACTGCCTCCACGGCCGGATTTTTTTTTTTTTTTCAGTGTGTGCATGTACCTACGTACAGCGGCGGTTTCCTGTGGAGGCAGGATAGAATTGAATATTTTATAATGGTTTTAAATGGAGGACAGTGTAACTAGCTAACGAAGATAGGCATTGGTTGTGACGTTTGGCAACGGGAACCGCTTGGAATCTCCCGGCTTCAAATAGCAGCACAGCGCGCGGCGTGGCGTGGCGCGGCTACACATGAGTGCGAGTCGCATACATGCATCGAAGCGCGTGTAACACCGCTGCCATTAAAGCCTCTACCTATGCCTCTGCCCAGAAGAGCTTTTGGAACGTTGACTGTCCGGAGAAAATTAAGCGCCGGGTGCAAAAAGGACATTTTTTGATTACAGTGTCTCAAAATCTCAGCGAATGTCTCGTCCATACATAAAATTTAAGCAAATTCATTTAATTTTTATAATTTTCACTGAATATTGTTTATGAATTTACAGTGCTGAAAATATGAAATTTCAGAAAATTGACCCTATTGTTGTCTCTCTAAAGTAAGAAATTATCACCGAAGATTCTGAAACACCACAACCAAAAAATACCCTTTTTGTACCAAACGCCTCAAATATGAGTACATTCGAGCTTGCTCGTAAAGAAGTCCCCTCATACAGGACAACCGCTTTTCACGGAAATTGGCACACTTATACACTGGAAAAAAAAAACCACATTGGATCTATAGAGTCCAGACTCTTAAAAACATCGACAAGAAAAAATACTCTTGATTCAATCAGATTTAAGCTTAAATCAAGAACCAAGCCTCTTAATTTGAGCGGATTTCCTTTTGATTTAAGCTTAGATCTGATTGATTGAAGAGTATTTTTTCTTGTCGATGTTTTCAAGAGTCTGGACTCTAGATCCAATGTGTTTTTTCTTCCAGTGTAAAAAACCTGCTATCAACAAAGACGATTCTTTCATCGTGATAGAGTGTTGAATAGCTATGAGCATCTCATTGAATTTGCTTTTCACGTATGTTTACGACTTATCTAATTTGAAGTATTTGTTTTGTTTGATTCCAGAGGATATACGGTGTTTTTGTGATCTGCCATCCTGTATAACAGGCGGTTATATGTGCAAATCCGCGGGGCTCGGCTGCTTCACGGAAAGTGATCAATCTTTCAATCGTGAAAAAGCGCGCCGAGGTTGCCTGGATACTCTGCCGAAGTAAGTAAATTCCTCCAGTTTTCAGAAAAAGAACCAAAGGAAGAATTGTATCGTATAATCAAGGCTTAAGCTGACCAATTTTCTCAGTTATCTTTTTTTCTCTTTCATAGGTAGTTGTATGAAGTTTTGCCATTGTCTCAAAACGTTAACATTATGATCTTTAATCAAATCACACATTCATTAAATTGTTCCATTCCAACCCCCTTCATTTTTTTTGTCAGGTTTTAGTTTCATTTTATTCGACTTTATCAAGAACTGCCGGTTCACACCTATAATTAATTCATTGCTTCCTTTTTTTTTTTTGTATTCGATCGTTCATGGGGGATAAAGGCCTTTCTCTTCAAAAACGCGGCATTGGAGTATCGATAACCAAGCGTAAAAGAGTGTTAATTCAAAACGGAAATCAGACAAAAAAACTCCCCGAAAACGTCCAACCAAATTTGGCAGCTAAAAGTTTCTATTTCTGAAAACGAGCAAAGCAGGATATTGGCAGATTGTAAACTGTATCATAATTATTTAGTCTCCAGTCGGCACAAAAATTAATCAACCCTTCGATGCCCAAGCAGGGTCAAATTGACCCGAGGCTTCCTAGAAACACGTGCCCCACGGATTGTTTGGGACCGGTACGTTTGAGCTTTAGATAAAGGTTACCAAAAAATTGTAAAGAAGAATAAGACGTCGAATTGAAAAAAAAAGGGAACACAGCCGATGGTAGTATTCGGGCCTCGTTTTCCCATTTTTCCTCCGAATCTGAGCGACAATTCATCATTAACATAGTAGAGCGGAGCATTGAGAGTTTACGCCTCGCGCTAGCGCGCCTTCAATTTTGCAGATGCAGCACGGACATTCATCAAGCACGAATAGTTGTATCTCCGCGCCGTCATCAACGCGTGTCCTTACCCGCGCTCTATTTCAACATTAATCTTGTTCTAGTTTGTCTTATTTACGGTGGTGCTCATAGAGCTACGTAGATAGCTCAGCTGAAAATAAGAGAGCCGTAAGCGGGTCTTTTTTTCAACTTTTCCCCCGGATCTGTGTGACACCTCAATGGCAGCGCAGCATTGAGTGGAGTATTGAGAGTTCATGCCTCGCGCCAGCGCGCCTTCAATTTTGCAGATGCAGCACGGACATCCATCAAGCACGAATAGTTGTATCCTTGCGCCGTCATCAACTCGTGTCTTTTCCCTCCCTCTATTTCCACATGTTGCTTGTTTTCGTTCGTCTTATTTCGTCGCTTTCCGGAGCAATTTACGTAGTTGAATCTCAAGGTTGCAAAATTTACTTTAACAATTCAATTTATATCCAGAATTTCTCCGATATTTGTGTGAGATTCAAAGATAACTCAGTGAAAATTTCAGTCAAAAATTCCCAATATTCTCTGGGTAAAACTACGAGACGCGAGGGGAAATTTTGCAGCAATGGAATGCAGTTAGGTTCTTTTGTGAGAGCAACGACTGTTTGTGGTGGTGCTTCAAGGGCTACGTGAGAAACATAGCTCAGCGACGTAATCAGGACCCAATTTTTACTTCTTCCCAAATCTGAGTGATGAGCACAGTGACCAGCGGGCTCATTGTTGTACCTAATTGATAGACTAAGCCACAGGCAAAAAAAGGCATATCGACGGTGAAAGTCGGCAATCACATAACTCGGTTTGCGACGTCGCAGACTTCCTGTCAAACTTTAATTTTTAAACGGAAAACTACTCAACGGTAATTATTTAAAACTTCCGTGATTTTTCTTCTATGTGCGAGGAAAATTCTGCAAAAACTTCAAGGAATCATGTCCATCTGTTCTCCTTTAAAAAAATAACATAGTTGCGGAGATGTTTAGACACCGCAAACGAGTTATGTGATTGCCGACTTGCACCGTCGATATGGAGGCAAAGAGGCATAATACACTAGCTAACGACAGCCCACGAGAGACCCTGTACTCAGTCAATCATTTATCTCCGTAGTCAAGAAGAACTACCCATTTCAACTAATAGGATCGCTTCGTACTCCCTGTATTCTCTATCGCTTTATCTATCAATGGACCACTAGACAAGGTACGAATTTAAGCATTCTGATACATGTTTCCTAGCCAGAATTTCACGCAAAGCACGATTCGCACAACGAAAATTACTTGAACCAACTCGAAACGAAGATAGTAACGTTTTTATTTCATATTGGTTACGAGGAATTTGAACTGCCCGCTCACAAGAAACTCAAAGCTCTACGTGAGTCAAAGTGCGCACTACAACGGCTTCAGCAAGCTTCTCAGTCGAGCAATGTTCATGTCCCACCGTGTGTTGTTCGAACTATAAGCAATTTGCCATAGCTGAGCCAAAGCGTCGAGATCGAGGTTGCAAGATTTGTATATCGTAGAGACTGTCATGATACCGTTTAGCGCGCGATGTGAATCACGTAGAGCATTGAGTTTTCATGAGCGGGTGATTTGAATTCACGCATCAAGAATCATTTAACATCTTCGTAAGGAGTTGATATCGGTAATTTTCGTTATGTGCATCGTGTTCTACGTGAAATTTTGGTCAAGAAACATGTATCAGAATGCTGAAATTCGTACCTTGTCTAGTGGTCCATTTCAGCAATCAGCCCACAGATGAACCGTGGGTCTCCGGAATCGAGATGGACACCTCGATGCCTTGGTGTTGTGGATTTTCCGTTTGTGACGGGGGGTCCTGCCGAACGGACGCGGTGCCAGTCATAAGCGAAAAGGATGAATAATAATGGGCGGCTGATTCGCGTCGGCCTCGGCGGCGCGGCGCCCAGGTCCAATAAGCACGCGCCCGCTCGCCCGCCGGGAATGATGCCCAGGAATTCCCGACGTCGCGACGTCGCGGTGGTTTTTAGTGTCGCGTGTCAGCGCGGCCGCAGCGTCGCGTCGTAGTGATGATTGATCCGTGTTCGATCCAAGCGCCGAGCGGGTTAACTGTCGACGCCACGCTTCCCCACATGGCCGGTAGAATTTCTACATCGGGCAGGGTTGCAAGGGTCAGGGAGTTCCTGGAAAACCTGAAAAAATTAGAGAATTGGTAAAAAAAAAAAAAAAACCCTGGAAAGTCAGGCAGGGTGTCTACAAGTCCGGAAATAGTACCGATTTTTTGAGGGGGGTCCGGAAGTACTGCAAAAGTGCGGGAATTCCACAAAAGGTCCGGAATCTTTTTCATTTTTTTGTCATTATTGTCTCAATTTGAGCGAGAAATTCAAATATTTGAAATTCTTCGAACTGCGTCGAATGGAGGTACTGAAAAAGTACCGAATTTTTCTACTGAGGAAGTACTGAGTTTTTTGGGAATTAACTGAAAAATTACTGTAAAAGCACTGATTTTTGGCCCGCCTGTTTTAGTAGACACCCTGTCAGGAAAAAAGTCAGGAAAATCCTCAAGGCTGCTGCTCAACATTTAAAAACTCCATTGCGCGCTAATTTTTGCGACTATTATGCCGTAAAGCGATTGCCAAGAGTGCTGAATCCGCGAGCACGATTTTACCAACCATCCACAATTCCACAATTGATTAGTCTTTTCCGACTGTTTTCTAATTTTTTTTATTCAGGCATGGAATATTTAAGCCACATTTCCAGGCAGCGTGATGTATCTTCGTATGCGGGTCATTCGCGAGTTTGACCTTCATACGTACAATGGCGGTGCCTCAAAGTTCGCATCGCTGTTTTTTAATTAATCTTTTTCATTTTCCTTTGTAAGAAGTTGGGTTAAAGTTTGAGAATTCAGCAGCAGTGGTCAGACAGTTTTTCTAGAAAGTCAGGGAGTTTTGAAATCTGATTAAACTTGCAATCCTGCGCATAAAACTTTGGCTATTGCCGAATTTCCTTTGATAAAAGAAAGGTTTTCTGGGAAAATTTTGAATATTTTTCATCCAATTTTTTAATGAAGTTTGGAAAAGTCAGTGAAATTCGACCTTGGCTTTTTTTTTCTTTTTTTTTACTCGGAACGACACCATCAATTATCGTATCGCGTCACAGAGTGCCTGGCTACTACGATCCTGGATTTTCTACTTCTAAACCGCACTTGAAAAAATTGAGAAGACGGGAACACGTAGTTGGAGATAATATTTCTTCTTCTTCTTCTTCTTCTTCCTCCTCAAATGTACAATCCTCGCAAGCTTGCCAATATAAGTACTGTCACACCACAAAAATCATTTCTCTCTACACTCAATCAGATCAAGTAGCCATTAAGGTTCAGTAGACTTTGATTTCCTGGCAGAAGATGAAATGGTATTCGGCAAACACAGATTACATCTAAACTCACTTATGAGTTGAAATCGTACATGTTTTCTCCGTAATTTATATATTTGCAATAAAGAATCCGTGCTGTGCTACTTCCGCCCTCCGCTCACCCTGTCGAGCGGTCAACTACCGCAGTAAATATGTAGAGGGCTCCTTCAATCCAGTGGCTCTGCAATTTGTGCTACATTGAGGGTAGAACATATATAGCTTTCGACTTTCAGTGCACCTGATTCTTTGTAAATTCTGATTCGTGTTCTTCATTTCTCATTTCAGTAAACAGCAAGCGTGTCAAAATGTGCCTCGCGACAATGAGCCGCAACTCAAGACTTTAGTATTGTGTTGTGCGTCGGATTTGTGTAACCACCCCGATACACCAAACAAATCAAACGAATCGTCACCCTCTACCTCTATATCAGGTAAATTTTAATCATCTCTATTCCTCTTAAATTAAGAGTAGGGGAAAGTTGAATGAAAGTTTCTCTGATGTTAATCGCCAGGTTTCCTATTTCGCTCGCATTTGGACGGGCTATTCGCAGAGAGACGTTGCGCCAAATCTTCCAAAATTGAGTTTTCGACGGCATACAATTTTTTTTAGTGTGACCACATCACCCTGCCAAGCGATTCCACCGAAATTGCTTTTAAAATGTATTTTTTTAACATTTGAACGTATGCTTTAGTGGAAAAAGGGAATGAGTATCGAGCCACCTCTCCAAGTGCCGATTACTCCCCCTTGTAATCTAGGTTCTTGAGCAGATTACTTCTTAATGTTCGTAACCACAAGTTAAGGTTTGAACTATGATTTTTAATGTCATCGGACACGCATGCGACTTTATTATCATAATACTGGTGCAAATGGCAGCACTGGACGATTTGGGGAAGAAGGGCGATAGGTTCCATCCACCTTTGAAATTTGTTTAATTCCTTGCCGAATATCTCTGACCCTCCGTGTGTGACCATGGACGTGGTCTTATTACAGACGGTATGTAGAGCATTGGTTGGAAATATCGAAGAAATCAAGTTTTTTCATGTCTTTTTGAAACTAAACCAGCGATTTAGCCGTTCTTCGAATAAGCCAGTCAGTTTCCTTCTTTATCATTTCTTTCTAAATGATGAAAATGTATCACTGAAAGTAGATTGGTAGAAGATGTCGGCTAGCGGCACGAAAGCCAAGCGTAGGAACGACGACGGCTGAAAATTTTACCCTGCGCCTCCGAGAAAGTTAGCGGGGCGTCCGAGCCTCGCCGGCCATCTGAAAAATGTATATTTACATTCTCTCCCCGCCGCTCGCCCCCAACCCCCCTCCTCCTGCTCATCGTATCCCCTTCCCTCCTTTAATCTCAATTAAGTACCGATTCCTCTTCTTCCAGTACACCCGTGGCGAATACGTAGCATACATCCGTTTCGAATCTTCAAATTGTTTCGGTTCGTATAAACTTAATTGAATCCGAAGTATTTCATGCGCGTTGACAGCCGCCACAGTCTCCCCGGCAGTGGGGAGGGGGCTTTGCACGACGGTATTGCAAAGTGCACGGAACCGGTTTCGAGCCAAGCGCCGCGCTGTGCCAAAGAACAACGCCGTAAGAACATTCGAACTTTGCCAGATTTCCCCGTTAAAACGTCTACTTTTCTGCAAATTTGCGAGTTTCTTCCTTGAAATTTGATTTTATTGCTAATCAAATTCTGTAATGGGTTGAGGAGCCGTTCATAAAATACGTATCGCTCAAGGGCCGAAGGGAAGAGGAGGGATCAAGCAGAGCGTTACGCCACTTTGTTTCTCCGTGTTAAAGGATAGAGGCCAACGTCACTAAAGCGTTACGAGGTGGGAGGGCGTCGCAAAATTCGAAATTTAGCGTTACGTTTTTTACGAACGGCCCATGAACTCACAGAAATGGGTAACACTCATAAGTCTCCCGGCTAATTCCAATGCAGGGTCCTCCGTGGTCTGGAAAATTAGGGAAGTCAGGGAATTTACGGCGTCTGGGAAAAGTCAGTGATTATCGCGACGAGTACCACGTAGACTAAGCAACTTCAGCCGGTGCCAATCGAGAGAGCACATGCAAAAATCTTTCGAGCGCCTCTTCACTTTAGTTCGAATTTCTAGAACTGGAGAGATGTTGTGCGTAAGTCGTCAAAAATCACAGGAAAAAAAACAAAAAAAAACAAAAAAAAAAAAAACTTATGTCTAGCGATTTTGATCGGAGGCCATGAAGTTCGGAAATATTGGACTTGAGGAGAAAAAAGAAACCAGGAAATTGGAAAATGAAGAAATCGTGGAATGATATCTAAATAAACTTGGCATCGCACGAATATTCTTACGGCATCTACCTTTACCACGGCATAGTGAGCACTTAAGGTTCTTTTTCTCTCGTCGTCGCTCCGGTCTCGTTTCAAAATTAATCAAATAAAACCGAGGGGGGAAAATAACGTCCTGATTTTTATGTACAGTAGGGGCTTTTTTTTACATAGTTATGCAGGCAGGTATGTGCCTCTTATTATAAATACAGATTTTCCGGAGAAGTGAATGCGAGCTAATCGATTAGCCCGCTGGAATGGAGCGAGCGCCTCGACCCGACCGGTCCGAAAATCCCGTTTGTTTTTTAGCGATAATTCGAATCGGGCCGCGCCCGCACACAGGTCCATTTCGGCTTATTATCGTCTTACCGTCGCAAATTAAAAGTCCTTTCCCGGAAGTCAAATTCACTCTCTAAAAGTAGAAATTGGACACTTCCACATTTTGGCGTAACTGAGTTGTGCATCGATTCGCATCCCTTGGTGTTAGATTAACCTTCGTTGCAAAAAGAGCCGAGTCCAATGATTGCACACTGAAAAAAAATTCTCAGCGTTTTTACCAAGGTCCGTTGTTACCTTTACCATCTCACTTTTTTTTACCAATTATTGGTAATTTTACCAAGACAGACTGGTAAGCTTACCTGAAAACCGGTATTTTTACTGTTTTTTTTTTCAGGTAAGAATACCACTTTTATTGGTAATCAATTCTCGGTAAAATTACCAATTCCATAAAGGGTAATTTTACCAAGAAACCAAACTGGGATCAAATAGAACCTTGGTATAGATGGAATAGATTCTTGGTAATTTTACCCTTTTCTTAGTAAATACACCGAGATTTTTGTTTCAGTGCAAAAGAAAGGAAAACAGCGACAAATGGCGAGATAATAGGAAACCAATCAAGAATTTAATGCAGCACATACGCGTATCAGAACATTTTTTGGAATGATATCCACAACTTGCCCCTATAAAGTAGGGTCGCACGGAATGCATGAATTAATACAATTCCGGTAGCTGAAAATGCAACCTAATCAAAGAAAGAAAATGTTTAATATGGAAATAATTAATTGGAAGCATATTGTAATACTATGAATTATTACCGTACAAGTTCTAAGAAAAGCTTTTTAATCCTATTTTTATCTTTTATGAGAAATCCCACGGGAAAAAAAAGTCTCTTTGATCTTGAGTCCAGACTTTAAAAAAATTCGACAAGAAAAAATACTCTGATTCAATCGGATTTTTGCCGAATCAAGAGCCAAACCTCTTAATTTAAGCGGATCTCCTTTCGATTCAAGTAAACTTCCGACTGAATCAAGAGCATTATTTTTTTTGAAGAGTGGGATTCTGGATCCAAGAGACATTTTTTCCAGGGTCCCAAATAATCCTTTACAAACGTCCTGAGATGAAGAAAAACATACATGTCCAATGTCCATCAAATCAAAATGGCGGCCAATGCCGTATAAAACTAAGTATCACAAAATCGTGGCAAGAATATGCGTGGTATCAGATAAATTCTCTTTAAATTCTTGTTGTTGTTGTTGTTGTTGGTTTTTTTTTTTTTTTTTTTTTTTTTTTCCAGTATTATTCATTCGCACTCTACACTTGGCCGGTTTTTATCTCTCCATGTAAGATGTGCTTGTGTTGACGTGTCCATTTTCTGCATTTAAGGATTCCATTAGTCCCGCGGTCCGGATCGCGAAGCCTGCGGACGAAGCGCGAAGGCGCGGGCGCCGGCGCACAGTGGATCGAGTCAAGTAGAGAAGTCGGACATGAAATTTTTAACTAAAACTACGAATATTGATGGTTATCTCGTGCCATTTCCAAGTTCAATGGGTGCTTCTGGAAGGAAACTTTACGATGAAACCACTGTCAGAACCTTAAAGTTTTGCATACACGGAGTTATAAGCGTTTAACGTTTCCAAATTTTGTCCGACCTTTCCTATTGACTCGACCCACCGTGCGGCGCGGCTGACGAGTCGTCGGAGCGCGGTCGCAAGTCGGACGACCGCGTCCGTGGCCGACGCGACGGCGACGCCGGCCTAATTTGGAGCCGCAATGGAATTAATCTCAATTAGCCGGCTTCTGCCGCTCATCGGCCATCGGAATCCTCTCGCACCCTCGCTTCTGTCCGCGGAAACCCGCAGAAATGAGAATAAAATCCGCCGAATTACCCATTTTCTCGAGGCACGACGAGAGACGAGAACCGGACAACGTTAGGCCTTGTCTTCACGAGCCGTTTCACGAGATTTGTCCCAGGGAAAAATCCCACTTACGAAGTTGGGAAAAATATTGAGTTAATCAATATTTTTCCCAGTACTAAGTATGGTACTTGCACCCCTAGGACCCACTGAGAGAAGAAGAAGAAGTGAAAACGAATTGTGCGATATTTTATTCATTACTACATTGTTAATGTTTGTTTAGTAAAATAATGTGTCTAATTGTCAATTGAGTGCAATTATTATTTTAATCCCGGTTAAACACTCGACTTTAACCAATTTATCTTCCCGCGAAAACTAGTCGCAGGACTGTATGAGCCCCGTCCCGTGGAGACGGTAACTGGGAAAAATCCCCGAAGTTTCCTTCCTGCGATTCGAACTTAGGGCGAATCCCATGAAAACGTCCCGAGGAGACAAGGCCTTCAGCAAACCAGTCGCACCTATAATCAGAACTCTGGAAAAACAAAGTCAAAATGAATTATTTAGATTTCTAGAGGGATTACAGCGAAATTTTGTTGAAAAGATCTTACTTGCAGTATAATTTACGTCCTCGGTATTGGATTAAGAATAACTTACATTGAAGAATTTATAAGAATTGGTCCGTTCGCCCAGCTAGCTCTTACATGATCTGATTTCAGATCGGCGTAAGCCGAGTCAGTTTACAACTTTGATTACATGAACCTACTCTACAGTACGGAAGGATCCAGACAAGTAACTTTTTAAATAAATATTACAATTAAGTAATCAAAACTAAATTCCCTAATTTAGGGTATTAAATTTAAAGTTATTCAATTCCACTACGTTGAAAAATTTAACGAGAAAATAACCCAAAACGCTATGTAATTACCATTAGAAGTGGTCCTCAGTAAACCATAGAGCATTCCTGACTGAATAGTATTGAGAATCTCAAAGCT